TGAGCTCGAAGCATTCTGTAAAGAAAAGCAGATTTGGCATGAGAAGGCGTGATGTTTTATTTGATTTTAAAAATTACAAACTTCAAAACTTCTATCATTGCACTGATTCTTTAAGTATTGTGAAAAGAGGTTGAACAACCTATCATTTTTCCAGTATGTTTTCACTCAAAAAAGTACCCACATTTTGCTGATAAACATCCTACTATGTTCAGCTACAAAAAAAGGGGAGCTGGGAAAAATTCCTTGCATTTTCACTACATTCACAAAAGTATAAAAAATATCTTATCAATGAATTTAATTATTAACTATCTGGCAATTTTGTTTAGAAATTAAAAATAACTGGTTTGATTAATTTTATAATCAAACTTATTCTGTTTAAAAAGATGACAAAACATGCATATAATTTAACCATTGAGTAACAAAACAATCTGCCTCTATATCAGTACTTTCCCATTCTTGAAATAGCACCTTCGTTTGCACACCACAGTTCTTAACATGTTATCGATAATCGATCCTTCATAGTTGGACGAATCTTGATATGGTCAAGATCAATCTTTAGAAAATTCAAATACAAAAGTCTTAACCATTTTGTTATTATAAAAGAAACGACTCACTGTGACATTTTTACTCTTTCTCTGAATCTATACTAGTGCATTATCTAGAATAGTTTTAATTTTAGTACAAAATTTTACTCTGCTTCATAACACCAATTTACACAACCTGAAAATTGTTTTCTATTTCTGTAGTTTATCATTAGCTACTCCTAGGAAAAAGTTATCAGAAGAGATTCGTATTTTTATATCTTATTTCATAACCATTTCCAGGGCAACAGTAGGTTAGCGTGTATCCAGGAATTTTTTTTTTGTAAGACAGCAGTAAATAAGTTAAAATTCATAGCACATTTATGAGTGAAGTTTATATGTGTCCTGTGGTAAAAGATTTATCTTTCAATTATTAAACTATTTTTCCCAAGTGTCAAGAAGTCTTACTAGTATAAAGTAGATTAATGTAGATATAAAAGTAGTTTTTGTTAAAGTAAAGTCTGGAATTAAAAATAGACAAATTAAAAACCGGATTTAATCCTGTTTGAGTAGTTGGTAATTCCACCTACCAGATGGTTCAATAAAAGAACGGGGCTTGGACAGGGGATGGAGAGGGAGATGGAGTTTGGGATTAATTTTGAGATCGGTCACATCACATCACCAATTTTTTACCTTCTGGCGTAACAATAGTTAAAAGATCTGGACAATCAGAACTCCGACCCGTTTTCTCTTACCTTAAAAACCTAACTGTTAATGACTTTTTTTTTTTTGAGTCTCCCTGGGCACACCAAGAAAATGATCTAAAAGCCATGCGGTAGGGTGCGAACTAAGAACCTTCTTCAAACAAACACGACCTTTACTCCGTTTATTGAACTCCTCTTCTCCACCCAGCCAGAAAACCCAGACAAGTTTATTTACACACACATCCGCACACGCACACACACCCCCACACGCAGAGAGAGCCCGGCGGAAACGCCCTCTTTCCATCCCCTCCAAACAATTATCTCTGAGAGCAAAAGAAAATAATCAACAGCCCTCCGTGCTGGGCGACTGAGCCGGAGCCCGGCGCGGGGAGGGAGGGCGAACGGCGGGCGGGCAGGGAAACGTGGCTCCGCCGCCGCGCCGAGGATTTGTGAAGGGAAGCGCCGGCCCGCGTGCGCCTCTGGCTGCCCGTGTAATTTGCAGCCAATCGTCAGGAGGTGTCCGCGCCGCTGCGTCCTGCTCACCTCGGCGCCAACCCCCGCCCCGCCCCCGCCCCCGCCTGCACACCGCCTCCCTCGCCTTTCTCTCGCGCTCCCCTCCCCCAGCAACCACACACACGCACACACACAAACAGAGAGGAGGGGGAGGGGGAAAAGAGCGAGGAGAGAGAGGGAGAGAGGAGAGACTCCCCGGCTCCCTCCCTCCTTCGCACACAGCGACTGGAGACGGACGGAGAGCAACGCGCTGGGAGAGGAGCGACCACCGAGCACAGCCCCGCGCTCTCCCACATGCACTCACACTCGGCTCTTTCCTCTCCCCCCACCTCCTCCGCCTCCTTCCGCCCCCACCACTAACACCATCTCCTCCTCCTTCTCTCTGCAACAAGAAAAAAAAAGCCATTTACAGGTATTTTTTTTTGATCCGCATATTTATTTATCCCCCCTCCCCAACAGTTTGTTTACAAGTATTAAAGTTGTAATTGGGAGCTGCCAAGACACATCTGGATTTGTGTTTCTTTGTGTTAGGGGGTGATGTGCAACTAATTAAAGGCAGACTAGCAGCGTCTGCAAATTCTAAGGCTCCCCAAATAAAAAGAGACTGGTAAGTGATTGTTCTTTCTCTTTCTCTGGCTTTTTTTTTTCCTCTTAAATGTTTGCTGTCCGTGGGGATTGTAAAAGTAGATTATGAATGCTGGACTCCAGCAATAAAAGGCGTCGCTGTATTAATTTATTAATTAATCTGCACCCGCCCCTCCTCCTGAATGTTAAATATGACCTTTGATCTCTGTGTCTGTGGTAGACCAGACATACAATATTAGGCATATATATATATACAGTCACATTGTTTAAAGGCAAAACAGGATCATGAAGTATGGGTGTCTAATTTAGCTTTGGAATAGGACTATAGTTATTTGTGTGTGTGTTATTTTGTTTTTTAAAGAAAAACCAAACAATAGCTGTGGCTTAGGTACCTTTTTCATGCTCCAGAGATGCATTGATTAAACAATAATGACCTGGATACTGGGCACAATCATTTTCTACAGTTTCTGGTGGCATTAAACCTTAAGGGAGGAAGGGGGAGGTGATGGCTATAAGAAACGCAAGGAAAGCTGCTGTTTGGAAACACCACTCTAATACTCTGGAAAAAGGACCTTAAAATATTTATTTGGAACAAGGTCAAAAGACTAAAATGTTGAAATTGTTCCCTCCACTCAAATGTGATGATATCTAATGCATGGCTGGCATAACTAGTTTTTACTAAGTAGCAGTTATTATGGTCTTGCAGTTACAATGTGATTCCCAGAAACTGAAGCTATATGCATATTCTTAATGTGTCTTCCCCTACACCCTTCCAAGCATCAAGAATATTTAGCCAGGAGCATTTTGGGGGCACCCTTTGTATTGCCATCAGACCTCTGAAGGGAGCAGTTTTCCCTGATGCAAAACCACAGAGGTGGTTCCTGAGTGATTAGGGACTTGCTGTGATTGAAAGATGCCTGCTAGCTTCTAATCCAGCCTGGGGTGAGGTTCCTTATCTTGATTTACTTTGCCTAATAGGGATTTGTTTACATAAACCCCTCTTTTTAGGGTACCTCATCAGCAGGTCTTGAAGTTTTTGCACTTGGAGTTTGGGCGTAAATGGTTCATTAATCTAATTACAAGCATAATTGCTATAATTGATAACCATTTGGAACTGAATATTTGAGGCTGAGACTACTGAGCTCCCATGTAGAATTCCCTGAACTCCACATTCTAGACCAATATATGGTCTTCAAAAGATGTCACAAAAAGATCTTCTGGCCAAAAAAAAAAAAAATCTGGAAACAAAGAAACTGGTTTTTAAGGTTATTATACACTTTATGTCTTTGCATTACTTCTTGAAAGGCTATGATGTACCTCTCCCTCTGTAATCAAAAACTAAAATACCTCTTCCTAAAGCCTAATAATGGCCTGTAAGTAAAGAGATGAATGCAAATACCCACTTAACATTAAACTTTCCTCTTTAAAAAAGCAAAAGAAAAAAATCATTTAGTAGTTATTTCTTCAGGTAAACAACACCTTAAGGTGCCCCCCCCCCCAACTCTTTTACTCAATGTAAAACCTGTGACTTGAGAGATCCTTAAAAAAAAAAAGTCCCATGCTTTCCTCTGGTCTTGTAAAGAGATAGGAGTCTCCATTAGGAATTATTGGGGATATTCTTGCAGAGGCTGCCGGCACTTGGTTTAAAACCTGTGACATTGTTTGTATTATTTAAAAATTTTTAAATTTAATCCATTTTTCTTTCTTTTAAACAAATAGACCACCACCCTCTTACCCCCACCAAGCCCCACCACCAAATGGCTTGTACAATTGAGACCTGTCCTTGGTCCATTGAATTAAGACCCTAACAGAGCCAGCTGTGCTGGGATTCAAACTAATGACCGCAGACACAGAAGGACACTGTGGCAGCTGGTAGTTCTTTTTTCCCTGCCTCTTTAGTTCAGATTGTATGTGGGCAGTCTCTTAGCTCTCAGTTGTATTGTTTGCTTACAGTTTATACTCGGATGTATTGTAGACTTTCTCAGTACTTCATTTGCTAATTTCCTGTTCATTTTCCTCATAGGGCCATTGCTGTTTTCTACTTTACAGCATTTGCATGCCCAGGCAGCACTTGTTCACACATTTCATAATGTTTAAATGCCCTCTGCTTATAGGTAGTATCGCCCTCCCACCCCTGATTTGCATGTCTTTAGCACTCCGATTGCCCTTTTCCCTAGGCATTTGTCACCCCCGTCTTTCCTCTTTCTCGGGGCATCCTGGCTATTAATACATTTTCTCAGGAGGGTTGTAAGGATGGGGGGAGGAGCTGTGCTGTGCTGCAGGGTGGGAGGGAGCCAGGCTGGCGGCGTTGGTGGGGGTGGGAATGGGGGGGGGGTCGCGTCTCGATTGTTATGCAGACGACCTGACGGAGAACGTGGGAGCTTCCAGTGTCTGCGGTGGGGTAGTGAGGGGGGAGGCTTATTTATCTTTAATCTTCTTCCTCGTGCAGCTCGTGGAATGACTTTCTTTATTTTAGTTGTAACAGTTGGAGGATAATGCCAAGGAAGACGCTGCCCGGGAGCCCACCGCCTGCGGACATGCGCCCCAGGGAGGAATAAAGCAATCCTCACCTTGCTCTCCCCACCCGGGCCCACCTTCCCCTCCCGCCCCGGCCCCCACCCCAACACCACCATCACCCCCTTCCCTCCCCCCCGCCTCCCCCCCTTTCCCGCCCAGGTGTCGGACCAGGCGGTCCCCACTTCCACCCTGCACCCCTTCTTCCCCCCCTGCACCATGAACACCAATGTCTGCGTGGAGCCCGGGCCGAGCCCGGAGGCCCCGGGCTTGCCCAAGGAAAGCCACCTGCCCGAGGGGGCCCTGAACAGCCTTGTGGATTACAACTCGGAGATGGAGCGCTACCGCTCCTTTGCCACCTCCTTCTACAAGACCAACGGGGGCGCCTTCCCGCAGGCGGCCAAGATCGCGCGCATCACCACCCCCATCTTCCCCAGCAGCGCCGCCGCTGCCGCAGCCGCCGCGCGCATCGGCATGTCCCCCTGGAACTGCGACAACGCGGCCACCGCCGCCGCCGCCACCGCCATGCTCTGGGGCAGCGGCGGCGGCGGGAGCGGCGGCGGGGGCGGGGGCGGCGGGGGCAGCGGCGGGGGCGGCAGGAAATCCTCCGCCGCCGCCACCTCCTCCTCCGCCTCCTCCTCGGCGATCCTCCCCGCGGGCGGCGGCGGCGGCGGCGGCAGGACCAGCATGCACCACCGAAACGACTCCCAGAGGCTGGGGAAAGCTGGCTGCCCGCCAGAGCCGTCGTTGCAAATGGCAAATACTAATTTCCTCTCCACCTTATCCCCCGAACACTGCAGACCTTTGGCGGGGGAATGCATGAACAAGCTCAAATGCGGCGCTGCTGAAGCAGAGATAATGAATCTCCCCGAGCGCGTGGGGACTTTTTCCGCTATCCCAGCTTTAGGGGGCATCTCATTACCTCCAGGGGTCATCGTCATGACAGCCCTTCACTCCCCCGCAGCAGCCTCAGCAGCCGTCACAGACAGTGCGTTTCAAATTGCCAATCTGGCAGACTGCCCTCAGAATCATTCCTCCTCCTCCTCGTCCTCCTCGGGGGGCGCTGGCGGAGCCAACCCGGCCAAGAAGAAGAGGAAAAGGTGTGGGGTCTGCGTGCCCTGCAAGAGGCTCATCAACTGTGGCGTCTGCAGCAGTTGCAGGAACCGCAAAACGGGACACCAGATCTGCAAATTTAGAAAATGTGAAGAGCTAAAGAAAAAACCTGGCACTTCGCTAGAGGTCAGAGGAGATGATTTCTTGTTTCCCAGCCTACCTCCCTCCCTCTTCACTCCCCTTTCCTCTCCCCTTCAGGGCTTCTTGTCTGGCTTGAAGCAGCAGTAGCCCTTTCCTCAAGCTTCATTCAGGTTGTGAGATTCAGTTGTAAGTCGTTTGCAAAGGGCATGGCCTCTTCACCACCCTCCCCAGGTGCACTTCGCGTGGAGCTGCCCTCCTGATGAGGAGGGCGCCCCTCCTTTTTATCTCTAGGGAAAACTAATGTAATTGATTTGAAAAAAATCATAATTTTCACATTTGGTATGGTCAGAATTTTCTCTTGGTCATTAAAATCGTCCCCTCCTCTCCCCTCCCCCCCCCGGTTATTATTTTTTAAAGCATCTCTGCCCAAAGGATTGGACACATTATATTCCGTATACTTTTCTGGCTAACAGAGGCTTGTTAGTGGCCCAATGAGGACACAGTTTGTGGCGCACAAGCCTATGTTCCCATTAACCCCTCCCCCTGCCACACACACACACACACACACAATAATCATTGAGGCTGAAATATATGGATTCAAAAGATTTTTTACCTCCTTCTAGGATAGTTTTTCTCCTCACCATGACAAAATGTTTCCCATTTTATTTTTTGCATATCTGTGTGGGGTTTTTTTTTTTTTTGAGAGAGAGAGCAGAAATAGTATAGAAAGATGAACACCACCTGCAATTTTAAAGGTCTGACTTAGTATGAAAGGATTCAATTAGTTCACTTCAGGAAGGTGACAGTAATTTTATTTAAGAATTGCTTTACATAGTTTCAGAAACTAATGCTTTCTGAAACTCAGTTACCAAAAAATGTTTCCTTTGGGCTGTGCATTTGACAAAGTAACCATTTTGTGGTCACAGAATTGTTCTATACATTAAACACAGTTCTAGTGATACCCAGATGGTGACTAATCATTCCTTTTTTTTCTATGTGGTCTTACAGCAGACACTGTACAGATTATCACTACAGGAATTGTTAAATTAGGCTTTAGTTAAGTTAAATCCAAAGACCACTGTGTTTGGTGGAAATTTCATACAATAACCTGATCAAAACAAAAAGGAAAAAACTGGTAAATTACAGATAAATGATTTTGGTGGTATATTTTTGCAAAGAAATATGGACAAGTAATCATATTTAGCCCCTTGATCAAATTTAAAGAGTAGATAGCTAGAAGTTCATATATCCATGAGAACATAGGTGGGGGATTTATCATTTGGGAATTTTCTATGGCTGGATTGTAGGGTGAGAATAGCTTCTACAAGTTATCATCAGAGGGGCACCTGCACATTCTCTTAAAAAATTGAGAGCACTACTTGAAGGAGTTTTTGCCATTTAGACTGGTCTTCAAAGAATAAAAGAGACCAGTTAAAGATCTTTGTTGCATGTTTGAGCACAAATAAGATACAGATTTTTCAAAAGTTTCATTAATATAAGTTAAAGCAAATAGCACTTTGAAATTCTAAAAAAATCCCAGTATTAATATTGATACCATTACTGATTGTGATCAGTTCCATCAAAATATTGCTTTATTCCTCTATAAGAGAACCCATGTTTTTATTTAAAGTTTGACTTTCCTCTAGGGTGGTTTATTACATTTCCTTTGGCAGTTCTGCTTAAGCAAAGAAAATAGAAATTATAAAAATGCAGATCCATGTATTTTCTTAGGTGGCAAAAATTTGTTCTTAGCTTTTGCATTTTCTTCTCTGAATTAATTTATCATAACTTCTCTAGGTCTCTAAGACCCAATGGGAAATTAAAATTCAGTTCATGCTGAAATTTCCTATTAATACTCAATCGATACTGACCAAAGGCATTTATTTTTCATCTTGAACTACAGTATCTAGAATTATAGATTTGGTGTTCCTAGTAGGCCTTGTCTTTAGCTAGACCCATGGCACTGCCTGCACCCAAATTTAGGGTATGTGTTGGATAGGACCACTGAACAATTCTGATGAATTTACTAAGTAACCACTGTGAAGGAGCTTCTTGTGAATACCAATAGGTTTTCTGCACAAGTTTCTATGCTGACTTATCAGTGTAAACAAGCTTCACAAATTTCCTTTTCTCTTCCTTTTGATAGTTTTCCACACACTTGTTGTGATGTTTAAATTCTTTAAGCATTTTGATCACAAATGATCCTATAATATCCCCTTTTCTTCTTTTTTTAAAATCTGTGTGTGCAGAAGTTCTATTGATCTTCAGAAGGTGATGTGTGGATGGAAGGGGAAACAAATTTCTCTTTCTAGCACTCTCTGAACATGTTTTCCTTAACTACATACCCCTTCCTACCAGAGAATAGACCATGGTTCAAGGCTAAGATTATTAGTGGAATGATATTTGGCAGAAAGAAAGAAGTTTTGTGTTCGTTTAGTTTTTTTCGTTAAGATTCTATCTAGGTCATTTAAAAAAGGTAATGGCTGTATAATTGCCTTAAGCTCATGTGTGACCACAAATATGGCTGTAGGAAACCAGCAGGATGCATGTCAGAGAGACAGGGTCTACGTGACTGAACCAAATGGGAACAGTGGTTGTGGGGCAGTAGAAAGTCGCCCTGCTGACCTGCTTCCCTCTGTAATTTGGTTCCTGTAAATTATCATCATCTGTAGAGATGTTTTAGAGATTGGATAGACTCTCTAGCTGAGGATTATGATTTGGAGATACATTATGATATACCTGTGGATTTCAGATGTAAGAAGTTTGGTAGTTAATATTTATTGACTTTTAATTATGGACATCCACTAACATCTGGATCATAATCATTACTTATATTCTTATTTATCATTTCATACCTCGTGTGCTCTTCTTCTCTTTGACTTACTGTCATCCCAGACGCTGGAGGCATAATCAGATTTTCAGGATGAGTAAAATGAAGTAAGACAGATTCACATGGATGTGTTGGAATTCTTGCTCACATTTTCTAAAGCTTCCCCTCTATATTCCTTTTAAAACTGCCCCATTTTCCTGCTTAGTCTCATGTTAATAGCATCTTAATGCCTTAGAAATGTGTTTAAAGAATCACCTCCCTTGATAATATTCCATGACAAAGCAAATTTCATTTTTCTATATTGTGTTTGTATATTTGCCTGTAACACTTATTCATTACTGTATTAAAAAATCACTAATTACTCAAGGTAGTTATTAGAAATGCTGTAGGCCCCTTGTGCGACAAAATATATCTTAAAAGTTTGTATCCTAAATGGTCAATATTAAGTTTCTAGATATTTCAAGAAACATGAATTTTGTATTAAGTTACATAGAAGCATGTCGTCTCATACAAAGTTAATCCTTTGGTTTTTATATTCACAGCAGTTTCATTTGTGATACTGAGATCTAACTTTTTAAATAGCCCAACCTGATACGGCTCAAGGGATACGATTGTCCCGTGGGCAACCCCAGCCTCTTAGTCCCTGAACATTGTTCAGGTGACATGATTGATCTCTGTGGGACAGCATTAGAGACCACACAGATCTGGTTTCTCTCCCATTAGCTGATTTATGGAATTACATTAGTAAGCAGTGCCTCAAGAGATTTCCCTTCCCCTACTCTTGCTCTTGGCTGTGAGTTCCACACTGCCACCGCCCAGGCTGTCCAGGAGCTGGAGGAGCAACTTGCAAGGGGCACCTTATAGTGAAGAGACTGAGAACTGGAAGTCAGGAAAGAAAGGGCAATTCCATTCTCTTTCTTTTCTTTTCTCTTTTTTAAAATGTACCTGCTGAGGGTACAGGCCAACAGTAATTTTCCACAAGTTAGTTTGAACTCCTAAGGAGTATGGTGAATATCCAGATATTGCCCCAAACATGATAACTTGTTTTAGAAGAGTAGAAGAGTGTTTTCATATCTATGCTGTTAAGTTCTAAATGCTCCAACTACACAAATGGCAACCACAAAATCCTGGACAGAGCATTGTCTACAGTTTGTGCAGGAAGATGGATACCTGCTTCCCAAAGAAATTCATTTGTGGACCATACATAAAATGGGTGTGCCACTCAAACTCAGTCTGTATAGTTAAATAATGAAACCAGTCAATAATTGAACATGTCATAAGTGTTCAAAGTTTGGTGACTTTAACATATTTTTTAGGTAAAATACAAATATTTCACGTGTTAAGTTGAAACATCTACCAGTTTGTCGTTTTACATCATAATTTAAAAATGAGTTTTTAATTCTCAGTTTCAAGAATAAGAAACACACCATTATAGAAAGGTAAAAAAAATTTTTTTTTTGGTAAAAATTTTTTTAACTTCAGAATGCAAATATTTAACTATCAAAGAGGAAGAAGAAACTTCAGTAAATTCAAACAAAGTGATGGTATATTTAAACTAAAATGTAATATAGAAATAATAATGTAGGAAAAAGATCCTGAGTCTCATTAAGTGATAAGAAAAAAGTTCAGAAAAGGTCATCTTTGACTAGTCACAAAATAAATTGTAGCCAGGGCATGAAACTGTAATACAAGTCTGGTGAGATTCTCTTTCCATCACTACATTTAATACAAGGTAGTGAAAGCTGTTTTTGAAAGAATCATGCATTTTTAACAATTCCTATATGAAAATAATACCCCATCCATCCCAACATCATGTGAATTCTAAGCAATCTTTTGGATGGCAGTTAGGAATGAGTACAATTAAATCCATTTGTAAATTATCCTATAAGAAAGTTTATTTGAAATTTAAACATCATCAAACAAAATGCAATCAGAAAGCTTAACAGAACAAGTAACAACAACTATAATCTTTAGGCTTTAAAGGATAAAAATATTTGGATATCTTCAAGAAAAATGGAAAGTGTATCTAGTGATGCAGGAAATAAAAGTTACTTCATTTTAAGCTTTTTAATGAATTGATTACTGAAGTATTACTGCTTATTTTGGTTAGTCTTAGCAAACTGTTTTCCTGCATGAACAGTTAAGAGTTTTGCATAGTCAGAGCTACAGATTGATAAATACAGAACAATTTAATCAAATGGTCTGTAAGAGTAAA